GACCAGTTGATGTGCTTTGGATACCTCCCCTCCCCAGGCCACCCTGAAAGACCTACCAGTGAGATAGGAGCATTTCTTGTCTACTCCTGCTCTGGCGTCGAAACAATGGCGGACTGGTGACAGCTCACTCAGGGTGGGTCGAAGGTAAAACGCTAGTGTCAATCAACATTCGTGAGAGGGGCCTGGGTCTGTGTGACGTCACATAGCCATGGAGCCAAGAAGCTGAGAACGGCTTGATTTGAGAAAGGGGTTATTATTTATAGGGATTAAAAAAAACAGTGAGTGGATTTTTATCATTATAGGGTGGATGTGTACAAACACTACCAACACACATTTATGTTCAAACATGTAAAAGTGAATTTTGCATCCGATGACCCCTTTAAGTTTTAATTTACTCCACAAATGTCAAGCATCTCAAACACATTCAGTGGATTTAAAAAAAAAAAATCATTATTTTTTTAAAAGATGGGGTCATACCATTTGACCACTAACTAACTTTGCCAGATACTACTACTACAAAATACATTTACACATTTTTCTAATTTGTCTTTTGTTCTTTATTAAGGTAAAAAAATAATGGTAAGTTTTAATACAATTTATCATCTATTTCAGTTGTTCATGGACAAGGCAGGCAACATGTATGAGATCATGTGAATAATACATCCCGTAACTCACGCAAATTACAAAAATATATATTAATTACAACACAGGATTTGTTTCTTCAGACATGCGGTCGACCTACTGGCGTCACAGACTGAAATGACTTGATAAAACTGGTTTCTCAGTGCTCAGCTCCTGTGTGGTTGTGGTGTAATGCTAACTATTACAAGTAGTACTTCCTCAAACTTGTCTTGCAGACAAAAGTGTGTTTAAAGGGTTTAGGATGATACATCTTTTGTGTTTGAATAAAATATGCATGTTTCCAATTATTCTGTCTGCAAATGTATTATTTTAACTTTTTACACATTTTTTTTCAAATGATTCACCCAATTTACACTCACATCTAAGGTGGGTTCACATCTAAGGTTTTACCTTATCAGAGCACTCAGAGGCTCTGATCTTCATTTCTGCATGGGCATCATTAGTGATGTGACCGTCCTTGGAGACCCAGACATCTGCAGGCCTCACTGGACAGCACCCAGGAGACCTGATCCTCAATTACCAAATCAAATACCATAAAGAGCAGCAGATGCCTATGGAATGATATCAGTGAATGTCTTAAATGTGTTTGAGAGAGAGAGAGGGGGGTCCATATGCACACTAGCTGCTGACTCTGTGTACTTCTGAGGGCGGATTGAATGTTTGTGTGTATCTGAGCTGCTTGAGGTGTGTGATCTTACCCTCTCTAGGAGTTGAACTTAAAATGACCTTCATCTGATAAAACATCTCACATACCTTTAAAATGTTACATAACAGTAACCCCTATCAAAACACATTTCTAGGAATTTAAAATCTGACCACAGATCAGGTGTTGATGATTGAATGGAGGCTTCTGATATGTTCTGGAAAGGGAAATGAGCTTTCTATTAATGTTATTCTAATTTCAGACGGTCAGTAAGGACGATCAACATGATGAACTAGATGATACTAAGACATGTAGGATAAATAAATAAATATAATACACTTTTTTTAGAAATGCATTTTTTAAAGTTGGGATTCACAAATGTGAAGAGGCCATCCAAAAAAACAAACAAAAAAAAAACATGAAAGTGAGCTTGTTACTTGTAAACGTAAGTTTTCAAATATATTCAATGCATTCAAAATAATGTTTAAATGTGGGGTAATAATAATGATGTCATAATAATAATACTTATTCTTATTAAGATTACTACCATTGCAACATTATTTAAAGATGTGAGTGCTTATTTTATACATATATATACACACACAAACATGTATAAATTGTTATTTAATATCTATCTGTCTATATATATATATAATTGCATTAGTGTAATATTATTATTATTAATTCTATAAGTCTATAAACTAAAGACACTGTTATTTTCTTACATAATTGCTTAAATGTATTCAATTAATTTATTAAAAATGCATTTTTAAAGTTCGGAGTACTGAACAAGTAATAATAATAATAATAATAATAATTGAACACACTTTGTGTGTGTGTATATGAATGACATCAAATAGGTTCATAAGCATCTAGAATAAACAAATAAACATTGCAACAATTTTTGATATCTTTTTTAATAAAATCTGCACACATAATTGCATTTAGTACATTATAAAATAAAAGAATATATAGAAGATTTCAAAGAAATAACCGAGTCAAGAAAACAAAACGTGAGTTTTCTCATTGTCATCACCAATGTAAAAGAAATAGGAAAGACAGAAGAGTTTGGAAAGCTCCAAATAAACAAGGCCTCAATGTGGGGTTGCTGTGGAAATCGCAAGGGGTGTGAAATTAAATGCACCTTTGCATATAAAGAAAATAACTGAAGGCCTCCAAGTCAAAAGAAAAGAACTTAAAGTGAACAGTATTTAAGTAAAACGCACTGGTTTCTCCTTCATTTGTTGTGTTCTCTGACTAGCGTTCAGATGCAGTACCAGAGAGGTTGATGATGGGGTAACTGTGTCACAGTTGTGCAGGAGACCAGCTAATCCCCATGTCGACCGCGATCACCTGTCTCCAGGTGTGGGTCATCACCAACCTTTAATCACATGACCCACAGTAAGGCCACACCTGGGCAACGGGTCTGTGAGTCAGCGGCCAGTCTGAGCATAACACGCAAAAAAAGCTTCTTAAAAAACGAAAGCAGAAAGAGTACAAGTGAATGGGGGGGTAAACAGTTGTTTTCTTTATGCAATTGTTCTGATACATTGTTGTTCTTTTTTTGGCACAATCTAATTGGACTGTGGTGTGGAACCTCAGCCTGACCCTTCATCTTGCTTGAGTTCATTTGGACAGGGATTTCTTAATCTGCTCCACTTCCATCTATAAAACAGAGCATAAAACAAAGACACGGCCTGTTAAACACAGTCACGGGAAATAGAAATGAAATAAAACATACTTAAACATACTCTGCTTATTTGCGACTACGCTAATTTGGTCGATATGTAAATGAGACGTTGCGTCTGTGTTCTTTAATTTGCACATTGTCAGTAAATCACCTGCAGAAATTTCCATGCCCATTGACGCTGTTTTGGAATTGCGCTCTTGCGCTAATTTGCCCTGTTTAGTAAATCTGGCACCAAGGCTACATTTATTTGATCAAATGATACAGTAAAATCAGTAATATTATGAAATATTATTACATTTTAAAATAACTGTTTTCTATTTTAATATATTTTAAAATGTCATTTATTTCTGTGATAGCAAAGCTGAATTTCCAGCATCATTACTCCAGTCTTCAGTGTCACATGATCCTTCAGAAATCAGTCTAATATGCTGATTTGCTGCTCAAGAAACATTTAGTATTATTATCAATATTTACAAAATACTGCATAATATTTTTGTGAAAACCGTGTTTTTTTCAGGATTCTGTAATGAAGACCAAGCATTTATTTGAAAAATTCAGTGTAAAACAATGTGAAAAAAACAAAAAAAAACAAAAAAAAAAAGTAAATCTTTAAAGGTTTTATACTTGTAATGTAACTTTACTGAATGAAAGTACTCCAATCTTTTGAATGGTAGTCTAAGAATACTTTTTTTTTTTTTTTTAAATATGAACAAAATTGCTGAATTTAAATTACATGCATTACTTACTCAAAATGTTGTAAAATATTCAAAAATAGAAAATACAGTTGTTAGTCAGTTCAGCATATCTCAATATCTTAATATGAACGAATTACTTCATTAAATAATAACATTAAAATTATAAATAAAATATTAAATGTCAAAATTAATAATTTAAATATGATGCTGAATTTAAATTACATGCATTACTTACTCAAAATGTTGTAAAATATTCAAAAATAGAAAATACAGTTGTTAGTCAGTTCAGCATATCTCAATATCTTAATATGAACGAATTACTTCATTAAATAATAACATTAAAATTATAAATAAAATATTAAATGTCAAAATTAATAATTATATTTATAATAATACCTTTTTTAAAATAATAATAATAGCAACAACACATATTTGGCTGGTTAAGATTGTTTTAATTACTATAAAAAGGTGTTGCACCTGGTTAGAGCTACGTTTATGACAAGTATAATGCCTCCTTACCTGCAGTGATATGCGAATCCTCTTCTCCTCATCCAGTTCACTCACCAGCTGTTTGATTTCTTGTCTGAGAAAACAAATTTGAGAATTAACACACATTTCACAGGCATCAATTAATCAACTTGTTCTCCCCACATCTAATTTCCTTCTAAACTTCCCTCCACTTCTACTTCACTCTGTCTTTCATCTAACCCCCTGTCCCGTCAGTTCATACTTGTGCTGGCTCTTCATGAGCTCCACAGTTCCTTTCAGGTCTCGTAATTGTGCTCTGAGCTCCTCCAGCGTTGTGGCACCCTGTTCGTTCTTCACTCGGACGTCAACAGAAGGGGAATGGGGCCGCAGACCAGCGCTGCCCTGGTGGAGAGAAGCCCCTCCGGACCCAGAAGATGATGGAGGGACACTGGGCTTAGGGGGCAAAGATGATTTTTCAGGAACCTGTGGAAAACCCCCATGAGATATCAGAACAAGAGCATATCCAATCACATTTATTCTATTTATCTTCCATTTCAGGCCGTTCCACAGGGCCTCGGTCTCTGTGTGTGTGTGTATATACAGTATAGTGGCACCATAAAGTATTTGCACACTTAAAAGGATAGTTCACTCAAAAATTAAAACTCATAAACATTATATACTCATCCTCGCATCATTCCAAATCTGTATGACATTCTGTGTACTGTGAAATACAAAAGAATATAATTTTGAAGAACTGCTGTCCATTGAAAGTCAATGGGGTCCAAAACAACACCGAGTGCTGCAAGGATTATGTATTTTTAGTAGGCCAAAACCTGAGCACTTCTGGTTTTATCGGCCTGAAGTCAATTGGTTTTTGGTTAAATGAGACTACAGATGTTGTTGGAGACATTAAACATCATCATGCCGAACAGGTAAATTCATCTGCTCACTAGTTTGCTTTTACAGCCTTGTTGTGTTTATAATCATACTCTTAACTATTCTAACTCAAGCTTTCAGAAGAAAGAATGTCATACAAGTTTGGAATGACATGAGGGTGAGTAAAACATGACAGAATTTTTATTTTTAGGTGAACTATCCCTTTAAGACACACTTAAAATATAAGAACACCAAATATATATTTAAAAATAAAGTGTGACTTAAGTATAAAAAAGTAATACTTTTTTGTGTCACTGTACATACAATGCTTGACTAGGGCGCTCCCTTGTGGTAGGACAGGGATGTGCATGCAAAAGGAGGGGAGGGTGTCAGGGGATGGGGTGACTGGGAGGGGGTGGGGCTTACTGTTATGACTGGCACTGCCTTGGGCATCTTCTTGGAGTTGTCAAGAGTTTTGGGAGTGAATGAGTCCTGCTCCTCCTTTCCCATCTCCTTGTCTCTCCTCTCCTCCTCTGGAGATGGGGAGTCCAGGAGGTCAGGACTAGAGGGAGAGGACTAAGGAGGAGAGCGATTTTTAAATGATCGTGACCAGATAACCCACAGACAGGCGAAGCAGGGCAAGCCCATGTGACATTCACACATAGCAAATAGCACAATCATATCTGACGGATTTACGTTGAACACCTGAAGGGTCACAAATTTATGAGACATCATCAGCTGATTGCATCTGATAGCTGTGAAAACAACCAAATGTGATTGACTTGACACATTAATTGGTTAAAAATAATAACAAACAAGCATGTTTATGTTGTGTGGTAGGGTTATTATACAGTAGTCAACATTTGAAGTGGATCAAAAAAGTTCAAAATAGCAAGAACGGCTATTGTTTTGGTTTTAGGACAACTTCGATGAAAGGTTTTGATCCACTTCAAATGTTGACTACTATAGTTAACTAAAACTACGATTTTTGTTATCAGAAAAAAAAAAACTGTTGCCAAAGCAATGCTTCTTATTTTCATTTAGTTTAACTTGATGTACTAAAATAGCTAAAATAAAAATGAATAAATATTAATTAATATTTAAAAGAAATTAATAAATATATAATACATATGTCTGACGAGAAGAGGCTTGGTTGACCAAAATTTTATTAGTCACAGAAAAAAAATTCCACAGAATGTGACGAAGTCACGCAGTCAGTGACGGACATATCGTTAACGGTTGGTGTTTGTGGTAATACAGTACATCGAGCAGGACATCCAAATGCTCACCTATCATTCATCAACCTCAAATATGGCTTTTCATCTGAAAGATGCATGTAGTAGCAACTTTACATGACCGCTCAATCTAATGTAAACCTAGAAAAATGTGCGCTATTCAAGTGTCTGTGTGGAGTGTAGAAGCTTAAACAGTTGCACGCTTTACTGCATGACAGATGGAGGCGCTGGTGCTCTCACTTGCTCTTAAAATACTCCCTCATTTTTGGTGATACAGATAAAAGTAATACATCCTTCAAATCTGTAAAAACTCTACGTTTATTTGTGTGCTTTTGTAAAATAAAGCAAACAGGATGCACTTTCAGCAGTCTCGGTCTGAATCTTTTTATAGTTGAACAACTTGAGCGTGACAAAAATAGTAAACCAAAACTCTGTATATAGGCGTCCATTACTACGGAGACGACGAGTCAGTGTCGCCGAATTCATCTCTTAAGCCAAAAACAAAGAAAGCAGTAGTTTATCAATAAATTATTTAAATGTTAATGCAGTCTCCTTGCTGTTTTTCCAAGACACATTCATAATTATTATATCTGCTGGTGCGCTGTGGCAAGCTTTATGTGTGCGCTTGAGTGCTTATTAGGCTATGTAGGCAATTAAAGGCTCATTATTATGATTTATATGGTTTATTAATAAACGTCCAACTAATAGTCAACAAATGCTTAAAATGAATGGCTACTAGTCAACCAGAAAAATCTTTAGTGGAGGGCAGCCCCAATTTTTAATATAGACATATTAAAAAAACTAATAAATATTGCAAAAACATAACAAAATTGTTAAATCTTCAAAATAAAAAAATTTAATATAATAAAATAAAATAAAATAGTATCTGGTGTACTCACAGACGTGAAGATCTGCGATCTTGGCCGTCGGTCCATTACACGGGGCCGTGATGCGGTCGGGTGGTTCAGCTTCTCTGTGGATGAGACGATGGTGTCGAAGTCTTCTACATCTTCAGCCGAGCGTCACACAATCACAAACATAAACACACAGGACCACATATATATCACATGCATATGAATCACGAACACAGGAAAAAACGCCAGACTGTAATCGCACATCTCCAGAATGGATGTGAATGAAGTGAAATGGACAGAGAGCTGTTGTAATTTGATTAGATATTGATTATTAGAAGCCTTATTAGTCATGACAGGGTTATTGTGGATTGAAATGCAGCTCTGGACAGGGACTCACCGATATCTACGGATTTGTCTGCAGAGCCTCGGTCAGCTGCCACACCACTGCCGTCAGACTTCGGACTGTCACACCTGTACAAAAGAGATTTAAACCAGAATGAGCTTTATTAAAACATGAAAACAGAGCAAATGTATTGAGAAATAATGTGATACGAGATGGTGAGGATTTCTAATATGTAGAACTGGAAGTCTGATTCATTCTAGTGAATAGGTTTATTCGGAAGGTTTTAAATGAATCTACTCAAAATGAAATAATTCACTTATTAATTGGAATCACTGCAAATAAGTTGTTTTGATGGTTCTAAATAAATCAATTGAAAAATTTAATGATTCATTGTTTCACTGCACAGAAGTTATTTGGTTCGGTTCCAAATGAATCCATTTGCTACACAGATGCTGTTCAGATGATTCTAAAGGAATCCATTAAAAAAACTAAATGACTCACTGATTCATTGGAATGACTGCATAGAAGTTGCTTGAATGGTTTTAAATTGACAAAACAAAATGAGTCACTGAATCATTGGGATTTACTGCACAGATGATGTTTGGATGGTTCTAAATGAATCCATTCCGAAATTAAATTATGTCTGTTCTGAGATTCAGTCATGAAAAATAGGGTGTCATTTTTATTAATTATTTAGTGTACATTTATCTGTTAAAAGTCTGTTTATCACACTAATTGAGATCAGCTTTTTTGTTCCAGATAAAATCTGTTCTGTACTTATCTATAAAAAATTGATGATATCATCTGATACTTTGATAAGATATTATGATGCATCATGGTTTATTTAATCATGACTTGTCTGTGATTATGTGATCATATTATGAGGTAATTGCTATCTCTGCTATCTCAATTACCCTGCTATTATTAGACACTTTTAGCTTATGAATAAATGAATCATGGCTGGAAAATGCACTTTTGAATAAAAATCACTAGGGGGCAGTATAAAGTTTACGATCACTTGTATCAACCAGAGTCTCCAAAAACACCTCACAAAACATTCAAAAAGAAGTAATTCACCATTCTTATACATATTTTGTATCTTTTTATAGTTGTATATAATGGGCTGAAAATCCTGCTACTTTGTGAATGTGTGTGTTCTGTACATCTGGTAATGCTGATACATGTTTGAGTGTGAGACTGACGGCATATTGGGCACTGCTGGTCTCTCGGGTCTGTCTGGGCGTTTGGGTGGCAGGGATGACGGTCGATTCAATGAGTTGTTGTTCTTCGGGGGGAGAGGCTTCTTTGGGAGGACAACTGGGAGGGACGGCTTTGCAATCTCACCCAGCTTCGACTCCTCACCTACATGTAATCATCATCTTTATTAAAGGGCATAAAAAGTCATACAAGTTTGTTTACCGGAAACTAAGAGAGGGTTTGTTAAAGCAGAGAGGGAAAATGTTATTCCAACATTTTTTAGTTTACTTCAGAGAAACAAGAAGTCTTTGAAAACACACAAGCAGTAACCCTTTTAGAGAAGGGCAGCACAGAGCTATAGGTTTTGCTGTAGTAGAAGGTCAGAGTCACAGAATTAGAGTTGACCAAAGCAAATTAAAACAGTTGAGAGAGACGTTACCTACCTTTTTCCTCAGCTCTGTGTGGGAGAGATTCAGGCCGCTCTGGTGGAACCTTTTTAGCCTCTGTCTTTTTGTCTGGGGATCAATACACATAATATGAGGGTTCAACGGGGCACAGCTGACTCATTCCTTAAGCTATCAGCTAAAGTGACACAGAAACATGTTAGGGTATGAGACCACACTGAACATCTGTAAAACAAACATTATAATATAAAATGAAGAAAAATACTTAAGATTCTGCACTGTTTATAGGCCACTAATGAATTTTTATTTATTATTTATTATTATTTATTTATTGACCAAGTGGTTCTTAGTACAGATAATCAGGTGTTCTTTCTGATATTTCTGGGATCATCTAAAATCATGCTGGAGAATATAATCATCAGGTTTTAATACTTGAAAAATGTTTTTTGATACAGCTTGACATATCCACTGTATCCCACAATGCAATACAGTTTAAAAGAGGTTTTAAAAAACTATTATATTATACATTACTTGAAACATGATTACATAACTGTTTTACATGGCTGAGATGGCTGTCAAATCGATTAATTGCCATTAATCGCATCCAAAATAAAAGTTTGTGTTTACATAATGTATGTGTATGTACTGTGTGTGTTTACATAATGTATGTGTATGTACTGTGTGTGTGTGTGTGTCTGTCTGTGTGTGTTTATATATAGGAATATATTAGTGCCGTCAAACGATTAATCGCATCCAAAATAAGTTTATGTTTACATAATATATGTATGTGTACTGTGTATATGTATTATGTATAAATAAATACACACACATACAGTATATATTTAAAAAAATATTTACACATTTATACATTTATATATTCATATTCTTATATTTTATATAAATATATTTAATATATAAACATAACATATTTTTCTTAAATATATACAGTACATGCATGTGTTTGTAATTATATATACATAATATACACAGTACACACTAATTTATTAGGTAAATAAAAAGTTTTATTTTGTATGCGATTAATCGCGATTAATCGTTTGACAGCACTAGAATATACAGTATATTTCTTAGATAAATACACGCACATACATGCATATATTTATGAAATATATGCAATATATATTTATATATAATAAAAATCATATAAAAATGAATATATAATGAAATATATATATTTCTTAAATATATACACACGTGTGTGTATTTATATATTTAAATATACACAGTACATACACATATATTATCTGAACACAAACTGTTATTTTGGATGTTATTAACTGCGATTAATAAATTTAACAGCTCTAGTTAGTATGCTACAATTCAACTTTTTACTCAAATTATAATGCTGATAATGTAATTTGTGATGGAAACAGAAGTATTTTCATTAGTGGGCTTAGACTTTTGCACCAAATTAAACAATTCAATTGCAAGCACATCACTGAAATTACATAAACACTAAATTTTAACAATGTTAACTCGCATACAAACTGATAATGCAAAAACAGTCAAACATAAATATGTCTACCATTTTTCCATATACCAGTGTTGGAACCAGAACTACTGAGTGATCTCTGCGTTCCCTCTTTGTCTCTCAGTCCCATTTCATAGTACGTCAGTACGAAGATTATGTGGGCAGAGTTTCAAAACCTCTGAAGGGAAGCTTTGAAGAACTCTTGTCTATTTATATTTTAAGAGCTTTTTGGGTAATCTGGTTGCACCTACACATATTCACAGAGAATATATTCCAATGATCATTAAACAGACAGCTGATATATTTGTCTTCATTTGAGAAGACATGAATATTTAATATATAATAAATTATGATATAATATTAATATAAACCATTATTTTAAATTGCAATAATATTTCATTATATTTTTTTCTGTATTTTTGATCAAATAAATGCAACTTTGATGAGCATAAGAGACTTCTTTAAAAACATTAAAAATCTTTCTGATCCCAAACTTTTGAACGGTAGTGTACATCACCATATGTAAACAAACCAATCAAATCAAACAGTCACAGACGGGCATGTAAGCTTACATACTGAGAGGAATTAAAGAAAAAATGCAGAAAGAAAAGGAAAGAAGAAGAATTTGTTACCTGTGATCTGTTTAGTTGTTGGTGCTGCAGGTGGAGGAGGTTTCTTAGGTCTCTGTAAGCACAGACACAGTTATAACAAACAGTACACCTATGAAAACACCCACATGCTCTCATTAAAACACAGTTCAACTCATACTAAAACACATACAGTTAACCATACACATTTGTCCTATTAAAAACACAATCCCTTCAGGCCAAACAGCACTAAAACATCAAAGGACATGCTGCTACATCAGGCAAAGGGTGAAGAGGGAGTCAAAGGTACAGGGCAGAGGGGAGCGTGTGTGTGTGTGTGTGTGTGTGTGTGTGTGTGTGTTTCACCACAGCTCTGCCTTCACTCAGAGACTGAGGCCCGCTGTCATAAGGACGGGAGCTCCCCGTTGGAAACAGCTGAAGTGTGTCAGTGAGAGACAAACAAGAAGATCTCACCTCTTTTTCTACCTCAGGAATGAATAACTTCACAAAGTTGTCTGGAAACACTCCCTGTTTGCCGTTTAGCTCTCCAAGCCACCAACCAGCGTCTGCACACTCCTACACACAGCAAAAACACATTTCATCAGTCTATTTTTGTTCTAAAAAGGCCAGACGTGATGTCAGTAACAATTTGTTCAACCACGTTGAAAGCGTAAATTGCAATTAGAATATATTTGATGTATAGTATACTGTAAAGTTATCTGGAGAGGATTTTTGGATCAATGAGATTTCACTTCTTTCATTAAAAATGAAAATATAATTATTTAACATTTTACTTTGTTTTTTTTAGTACAATTTTTGAGTTGTAATCACCAAACTCACCTTATTGATAATCGTAACGATGTCTCCCTCTTTGATTGACAGCTCATCTTCGTTCTGACCTTCGTACGGGAAAATTACTTTGCAAAACTCCTTTGCTGTAATTTGAATTTTCACAATGTCACATCAAGAACCAATTGTCGTATCTGCATACAATTTGACTACATAAACAATTTAAGCATTTAAATAATCCACAGCACAGGTGTGATCTAATCCTTTTACCTTTGGCCTTACTCTCAGGCTCCGCCTTCATGGTTTCCTGGGCAACAGCTGGAGCGACTTTCTTCACCATTTGAGGCTACGGAGAATCAAATACTATGTAAAACACTACAATGATAATTTATAAGCACTACGGTTCAAAAGTTTAGGGTCAGTAAGATGAAAAAAACACACAAAAAAAAAACATAAAAAGGTAATATTAAAAAATTTAAAAGTAATATTGTGAAATTTTATTACAATTTAAAATAACTGTTTTCTATGTAATATATTTTAAAATGTCATTTATTCCTTGAATGCAAATCTGAATTTTCAGAAACGTGACTCGTCCACAGTGTCACATGATTCTTCAGAAATCATTGTAATATGCTGATTTGCTACTTAAGAAACATTTCTTATTATTATCAATGCTGAAAACAGTTGTGCTCCATATTTTTATGAATATAATAGATTCTTTGGTGAATAGAAATTTTAATAGAGTAGCATTTATTTGAAACAAATATTGAGTAAACTTTTGAACAGTAGTGTAAAAAATATAAATTTATATTAGACATTAGACATTTCATACATACTATTACCGTATATGTATATGTATATATATACACTACATAATATAAATATACATACATATATCTTACTTATAAAATTATACATTTTACACACACACACACACTATATATATATATATATATATATATATATAAACAAACTGCTAGCAATAAACTGTATGGATGTGATTACACCATAGACTGTATAAAAACAGGATTAACAGTTAAGTTACACGCAATACACGGAGCTTTTCCCTCACCACTGTAACGCGCTGCTTTCGCAAGGTTCCGTGAAAACGTTTCAGCTTTTATTTTCCTTTCATTTTCCATCCTCGATCACTTTTAGTCAGCTTTGACGAAACTCCTCTCAGCTAGCACGTCTTTTCAAAGTGA